AAAACTGTCAACATCAACTACACGATTTATAATTTTATTAACATTGATAACTCTGACATTTTACTCCGCCTTCAAAAAAGACGGAGTATGTTGGTAAACAAAATTTTATGATACGGAATTTTTGTTTCTTTTTAAATAAAGGGAATGATTGTATTTCTTAATTATATTTTGGAATATTATTGTATAGTTTGGCACCAGCGTACCAAATATTTTTAGTACCGGTGTTGGTTCGTGATTAGTATAGACATGTTTTGTTTTAACGCACACACTCATAGCCCCGCACTAGGGAAACCCTGTATCGCGGGTACCACGGCCACACCATAGGCAACAACAAATGAATATAGACCAGAAATAAATGTAACGCAGGTCCTCTGGGTGGCAGTCCCACATAGTAACCGTTCGTCCACTGAGTCTGTCAAAATTATGGGCATTTGTTGTCTGGTCTGAGTTTAATCGTCGTGGAGGCCCCTGAAATATTTTCTTTTAACGTGATGTAAAGTTTATATTAATTGCATAATATGCATTTTTATTGTTACAGGTGGTTATGATTCCTTCATTGCCGGGAGTAGATTCAAAGTATAGAAGAAAATCTACATTATTTTTAAATTCCTTAACGGAGTTTAAACCTCAAAGTTTTGGGTTACCAGCCTACTTATCTGTTAAATCTAGGAACTAAAAGTATTTTCTTTTTAATAGAAAAAGTTCTAAAATGTACATGCTAACATAACAAAATATTACACACTATGCACTAATGTTAACGATGTTCATAAAATTTTAGAAATAAATAAAAGTGATTTTACCCGTCTTAATGGAATATCGTACTGATATTAATTTTATTTATTTGTGAAATTACTCCACTAGTTTGTTATCAACGCGCAACGCGTGCGCCCGTCACCCTGAGATATTAGTTGACACGTTCCATGAGCCTGTAATATCATCAGCATCCTTATTCTCCGAAAACTGAACACTTTACTGCTTGGCAGAAATAGATAAGGTGATATTTCCCTGGGGATATTTCCCTGGACGAACTCTTTCACGAGGAGCTTTACTGCTACTAAAACTACTAAAATTATACAGCGTCACTAGCGGTCACAAGAAGAAACAACATTTTGTATACAAATATTTTAAGCGGTCGCTGACGAGAACTGTCACTGCAATCTTGTGGTAGAGGCACTGATAGGATTCAAACCTGCTTTTGCGCCAATCCAGGCTCTATACGAGTATACTATAATTCTATCGTTTAATTAATATAAAGACTTTAAGGTAATTCAGTTTGCCTGCAAATTTCTAAGTAATTAGTCCTGGTAAAGTGAATGGTTCAATGACCATTTTGGAATTGGAATTACTGCAAAACACGTAAAAATCATATTTTTTTATTGTGGAAATCTCTAATCGGAATGTCATTTTCTTAAAATTTTTCAAACGTATGTGATGAGTGATGAGATGACCGTTGCGTATTTATACAATTCATGACGTCACCAATAAGCATTTTTGTGACAGTAACGTCATGTTTTTTCTCCGCCTGGGTGCCGTCAAAATTATGAACAAATGAACTTTCATATAAGAAGCTAAACAATGTTAAGAAATGAAACTACTTTTTTCGGATCCAAATCGAGTATATTCAATGATCTTATATAATATGTGTTTTGAACAAACCAACGTTTCGAGCCCTTTACAGGTCCCATAGTCACGGCTGACTTAGTATGGTTCGTTAATAAAATAATTTAATTTCCTATTTTATTTATTTTAGTCCAAAATTAAGTTTAGTCCAGTAATGGAATAGTCCTTTCACTTTTTATTATTTTTAAATATTTTTCATCGAATCGAGCCACTACAGCAGCTCCTCTTATGAGATATATTCTTTTAAAGAACAATAAAGGAGTAACTAGAACAATCTCAATATATATATGTTTTTATCAGCATAATTTTGAAGTCATGGCTTGAAATAAATATCTTCAGGTTTTATACTTATAAATAGGAAATAAAAATTGTAATAAAATGAAAATATAATTTATACCATTCTTGAAAAAATAGTGTGTTCTCCGTTCAGGATAGCTAAACAACGTGTCGCATTCAAGTGGACATCAATGTTACAAAAAGTGTACGAAAACAATTTTCACAGAAAGTGGAACCAACATACCGCACACGAAACCATAGACTTAGTATATAGCAAATCTATACACGAAGCCACATACTGTCTGGCGTAACTAAATAAAAATAAATTATTCGCATCCATGCAGTAATATTTCTTTTCAACTTTCAAATTTTAGTTTTTTCAATTCCACCATCTTTGAGTTATTAAAAAAATATTTATTAATAATAAACTTGATCCTTCTCAATCAGGCCATTGCCGGTCCTGTTCATGAATAAATTATATAAATATTGATTTCATTTTCTGCAAAATAATATTATATTACAAATATTTAAACCAATTGTACACTAGAATTATAACATTACGTTTTCATTACATGCAGAATTCATTGATATTTCCGAGTTTCGTAATTTTGTATAAAAAAAGCTGGCTGGTACCTACTGGTGGTTTGAAAATAAGGCCGATTACAAACCCATTTGTATTTGATAATTTTTATAATTTTTGTGAAATGGGTGATTAATTTTGTGTGTAAAATAAGCGTTCATACTTCGTATATAAAGGCATGTAACTAAAACTACGCTCAAAATGCTAGTTAATGTGAGATTTACGTAGAAAATTTATTTGTTTTTAGTAGTGGTTCTTTGTAGTGAAACTCTCGATCAAGAATAAATCACACTTTATGTTCCATTCTGTCTTACTTAACTATAATTTCCACGCTCCTAAGCGTTGATTCACACCGCGGAGACGCTACGCGACGCAGCGCGACGCGGCGCGGCGCTGTATTCAGGCGAGCAATGCAACATAAATTTTATCCTCGTCAAAATAAGGCAACATTTCATTAAACAAAGACATCAAAACGAAGCTGCCTCAAGTAAATACTGTCTACTAAATAAAGTACGATGTTTTTTGTCAATCTATTGCCATATACAATTGCCTTACAATATTTAAAAAAGGAATCATTAGCTCGCTTGAGTAATACCAGGGAACAGTCCTATATTTACTTACTTATTTTGAATCTCGAAGTTAGTAAAAAAAATCTGCCTCTTCCGATCAATTTAATTTAATATAATTTTGGATTCAGTTACAAAACGCTCGTACACTTGACGAGTGTTGACTGGATATTACGTAGGTCTATTTTGCACCAACTAACACCACATTGGTGAAATTACAGGCACATGGGACTTATCAACTTATGTCTCAGGGTGACGGATGCTGTGGCAGTGCCCCTCAGATTTTTGCTATTTAAAGCTCTGAGTGGCACGACGTCTGTTATGGACAGGCGTGTTGCTTACCTTCAGGCGCACGACTTGTTCGTGCCGTCACTTGGTATTGTAAAAAACACATTTTAACGACAGGTATTACATATTTACTTAACGATTTTTTTGTACAAACTCACAAAGGTCAAAGAAATCGTTCATTTTTAATTTGTTCTTCCATGAGAAACCACCACTGCTTAACGATTAATGGCACTATATACGTCTGAAACTAGTTACCTATTGTCAATACAGTACAGTCAACTACAAAATTGTCTTTAATTTAACGAGTTCGACGAGATCCTCTACATCTTCTACTTGAGTATGGCGGCTACAATAACTTTGTTTATTTGTTGTGTTAATGGTTTTCTCATTTTAAATTTTTTGTATTCTTCCAAGTGATGGGACTAACGAATCTTGCGCCTGATGGTAAGCGAGACGCCTGTCCATAATAGTTGCAGTGCCGTTCAGAGCTTCAAATCGCAAAGACATAAGTTGAAAAGTCTTATGTGTCTGGAATTTCACCAGCACCCTTACCCTTCAAAACCGAAACGCAGTAATACTCATTACAACTTTGCGGCAGAATGGGTAAAGTGGTCGTACTTTACTGGATGAGCTCTTTCACAGAAACAAATAATAATCTTAGTGCAGATTACTAAAAAACCGACCTCAAAAATTTGTGGAATTACACCTATTTACCTAGTTTCATTGAAATCGGTTATTAGAAAGTGCGCGAAACTGGATTCATCCCCGAGTTTGCCACCCTTAGAGGTGAAATATTTTCTTTAAATTTAAATGGGACCACACCGAAGTACCCTCTTTCCAACAAAAAAGAATCATCAAAATCTGTTCACAAATTCGGAGTTATCGCCTAACATGTAGTCAACAGCACATTAAGCTTTAAAATTGTGTTCGAACAAGAACAAGATATGTATCTTGATGAGCTTCCGTCTGTACATACAAAAAAAGTACAGTCGAATTGAGAACCTCCTCCTTTTTTGAAGTCGGTTAAAAATATGTGAAATTCATGATGTGGAGTTGGGTGTCTTTTTACGGGTTTAAAGGGAATGTGTTCGTACATTATGAAATTTAGGCACGCTACGGTTAGTTCTTGCAAACGCAATGTAGTAAAAACGAGAGACTTAACGTTTTTTTTTATTCTGCATTAAACTAAATGTAATTTTAGGAAATTAATAATTTGTATTTGCCCTACACCGTAATTTAAGGGGGTGTGTTCACTTATCTGAAACATTGCGTTGGGATAGTTTAGTCTTTATAGGTATAAATCGCGGAGATAGAAGCATTCTGTTATATATTCCACTATATAGTGCACGTGTTTCTAAAGCCGCTTTGTTTGTTGGGGAGGAGATTGTTTTTATTTGTAAATTTTGTACAAGTTACACTACCAATACCAATAAATCAAACATATAAACCATGGTCAATGCGAGTTGAGCCTGAAAAGAAGCTGTAGAATTACGATCACAGAGCTTCGGGCGGTGACCGCCTCCAAGTAGTAATCATCGAATATGTCAGAAATTTTGATTCAGAATTATTTGACAAGTCCTGTGTGACGGCAATTTATACCAGCACCCTTACCCTTCAAAACCGGAACACAGTAAATGATAAATATGTACAATTTTTATTTACAAAGAGCAAATCCTCGAGATTCTTACTCATTATTTTCAGGGAAATCTGCCTTTCGAAAAGCTGTAGAATTTAATCACTATGATGATAACAGACGACAAGTGACGTGTTATTTGCTTACTTATTAAATACAGGTTATTTGAATTTCAGTTTGAGCTGGAACGTACTATAGGTAGGCCAAAGTGCACTGATAAGGTAGTGAGGTATTAGCTGCAGGGTAGTGATATTATACAGATAAAATAAGAGTGCAGGTGATGAATGACCTTATATATCATTGGGTGCAGGCAATGATCTTATATACAGGGCAATGATATATACTTTGTGCAGGCTCGATATCCTAGATGAGTGATAGATCTCTTACTAGAAAGTAGCATACTCCTTGGTAATGACTATCGTTTTATTATTCTAAATTCAAATGTTTCTCAAACACGTACAAAATAACCTCAGGACAAAAGAATACATATAGCTGTCATTTTGTTTGATCGTAGCCGTGCTTTCGACTTACGTCTTGATTTTTTGTTACGAGTGTTGTTTAAAATCCGGACGTATTAAAATGCCGAAGGGCAAGGGAACTGGCGAGGGCGGAGTTTTGTAAGTACCTAGAGTATTAACTCATCCATTAACCATATATCCATATACCAACCAGCATACAATCTGCGGACATTAATAGAATAATGTATTCACAAAGAGATTGAATGTGAGACTAGCACAGGATCATGGTAGATAGCACAAACTACTGGAGGCTTACACAAACAACAAGTCGAGCTGTGGATGATGTGTATTTGCTAATAAAATAGTCCCTACTCTAAATTATTGTTCGGCACAATTTAAATTATTCTTGGTTCAAACGGTATATTTTGCCAAGATCCTAACCAACAAAATTATCAATAATTTGTAGAACGAATTGATGTTAAGGAAAGCACAACAGTGTGAAAAAAGCCGTGTACGTACGTAGAAAATATAGTACGTATGTAATTTTTATATTATATTGCATGTTTTTAGTCTTTAAAGTATATATTGTATTGGTCATAGTTGCTGGATTTAAATAAATAAAACCACGGACGCAAGAAAATTGCAAGCGCAATATTACACATGCACTTTTACGTAGTGTACGGCCTGTCTGTACAAACTGTATCTCAGGAGGACTCGTCTACTCCTCGTGATAGCAAATTTATAGCACCACCTTTTTTCCTAGTTTAAAATTTTGTAAAAAGTAATATTTTCTATTTATTATTTTTATTATTTGGGGTGTGGTGATCTGAATAGCGAGGATGCAAGTATATTTTTCGATAAGATTTATGCAAAAATATCATTGTACAGTAATATTATCTAATGTTCAAACTTTGGAGTCATTCTAGACTTATAGTAACACGCGAATATAAATATTTATATTTTAAGGAAACCTGGGGTGAAAAATTACCAAAACAAAAACAAAATATTGTAACTGACTGTAATTTTATCTTTTTACCTACAATTTTAACAATAAAAATTAATACTAAAACAAAACAGCGCAGTTACACTTAAATGAATTTGATTACGAAGATTGCGCACTCACACTAATTATTCAAACTTAACTAAAACCTGACAGTTTTATAACCACAAAGCTTCGGCGCGCCGCCGATAGAAAAGACCTCCTGCCTGTGCTAAAGATAATATCGACAGTTAAAAGGTGAATTGACTCAAGCGACATTTTGGGCGATATTGAGATATATACATCATTGGAATCAGCGATTTTTATCGCGTCTATTGATCCTATGCTTCACGTCAATTGGAGAATTTTGGCGTTTTAATTCCGTCGCGAATTGGGGGGTCATTTCCTACATCATAGTGTTAAGCGACATAATTTTCTGTTTTTTTTTTAAACTAGGTATATGAGTCTACTTTAACAAGCTCATAATTTATTTTCATGTCTATTCAGCCGTTTCTCCTTTTATTTTTTTTAGGAAAACGTCGTTTGAGCCTTTCTTACCTAGTCCAGAGTTGAGTACGATTGTACCATAAAGTACCATTTTGCTTGAATCTATTTACTTTGAACCGATATTAGGTGCGACGTCGCTTGAGTCCTTTTACTTTAAACAGTTTCGGAAAACTATGTCACTTAAGCTATTTCTTCCCGTTTTTTTTTTTGTTTTGGTTGGTTTAAGTAATTTTCTTAGTGTTAAATAAATACTCAAAACGACGCTTGACCCGTTTATTTTATTTATTTATAGAATAATTTGACGTTTAAGATATGGGAATGTAAAAGATGTTCCGATCATAGATGATGGCAATGAAACAAACGTAGAATATGAACACTATTAAAAGAAGAGTAATTTTTTTGCAATTAAGACTATTATATTATGTGCTACGGCTAATTCTATTTACAGTGATTATTTTCTTTATAAATCAAAATATAATGACAGTAAATATAGAATAGCTAAAGCACATAGAACATTAGAAGGTATTTGGCGTTATTTTTAGTTCCTTTGTTGCCAAATGATCTACCTGTAATAATAGGTATCTTTTTCTAAGTATTTTAGAAACATTGATTTTATGTTCTGTATTTGCTCCTTCGTACCGTTAAATCCTTCTGTCTTGATCTGTATTTGCTACTTGTTATCGTTAAGTCCTTCTGCCTGGATCTGTATTTGCTACTTGTTACCGTTAAGTCCTTCTGCCTTGATCTGTATTTACTCCTTATTACAGTTAAATCCTTCTGCCATGATCTGTATTTGCTTCTTCTTAAAAAAATGTTTAACTAAACCAAAACCGGATTTTTAAATACAGAGTTTCTACTTATCGATAATTTGATTACAACACGCGGACCCAGTACCAAGTGGAGTACGTCGCTAGTGCAAGCAATTCATTGAGCGTTCAAATTGTTCTTTTGAGGGCGGCGATGGCTAGCGACCAAGCGGATTTCCACAACATACTCTTGTTTCGAAATATTAATTTTGTATTGTTCAAAATATTAGAAAATACAGAGTTTCAGTACTCACCTATGAAATGAAATCACTCCCGGAGTATTTTTTAAACTTACGCGACATGATATATTTCTATTTTTTCACAAAACAATCTTCTTGTACATTTGAACGACAACTGACGCGCGCTGTTGACACTCATATAGACGCTCATAAGCTAGGCAACGCGTGGCCCGCCCACTAACCAACCTAGTGATCCTTAATGTCGACTTACCACTTCACCACCGATCTTCACAAGCAATGAGTTACAGGTATTGGATTTAGTATTGACTCTAAGCTTTGATATTTCCACCAGGTTTAAAGTAGATCCGAGAGAACTACATGTAACAGTATGGGATAGATTAACGATATTTATGGCTGTGCACTGGCGCGGATTGCTTGCCGTTGTAATTCCATTATCGTGTATAAGCATCATTACCTCACCTATCCCGCCTGCGGTATGTCTTTGTAAATTAACAATTTTTATATTATATAAAATATACGTTATAACGAATTTAATGTTATACAATATATAAAAAAGCCGTGGTTGCCTTATGGTTTGACCTAACGTCTCTCAAGCAGGGGCCGTGGGTTCGAATCCGGACTCGCACCTCTCAGTTTCTCAGAATTTATGTGCGAAATTAGATATGAAATTTACCATGAGTTTTTCGGTGAAGGAAAACATCGCAATGAAACCTGCCTGTCGAAGAAGGTTCATAACCTTCGGAAAACGTGTGAAGTACTCATCCTACACTGACGCCAGAAATTTCGAGAATTTAGCTTTGAACTCTGAACACCAAACTTTGACTTATGACCGTGGCTTCCATTTGCCACGATCTAGAGATACTCTTTCTCTTTGTTTTGTAAAGAAAATCACAACTGGAACGCCCTATATAAAACTATACATATACAATTTTTGTAGAGCTTAGGTAGATTGTACACACAAATCGGATAACATACTCTCAAAAATTGATACCAACCGAAGGTGACGGCTAAAAATGAACCTTATTAAATATTTTAGTTTCGTAGGTTTTTAGCCTCTAGTTTTCTCTACATATTTTAATAAATATTTGTGATATACGCTAATGCAACCTTCTTATCGAAGAGAGATGTTCCATTTTCCATCGACAATAATTGGTTAAGTGCTTAAAATGGTTTTATGCGTCAGTATGAAAAATAATTATAAATTTTAATGGTACTAGGGCTTTAAACATTTAGGTTATTAAGCATTTGTAATTTTCACGACGCGAAGGGTATTCCAGGTTGGAGCCAGAGTTAGAGCGTGATTTCGAGCCCTGGTTGGTTTAACTAAAAATTGCCAAATTTTCTTACTAATTTTGTATTTTTTTTGTTTTTTGTAGAAACACCAATGGGTGGGCTACACGTTAGTCGTAATGGCTCTATATTGGATGACGGAATGTATCCCACTACCTGTGACCTCCTTATTGCCCCTTTTCATCTTTCCGGCCACTGGGGTTATGTCCACTTTGAATACTATCCAGTGTTACGTTAATGTAAGTTACTTGTTATAATAATTTAAATTAGATTAACTTTATTAAGATAGATAAACTGCCTCCGTGGCCGAACGGTTACCATGCCGGACTGCCACGCAGAGGTCCTATGTTCGATTCCCGGGCCGGGAGAAATATTTGTATGACCTACATTTATTTCTCTCGTGGGTTTGGGTGTAATTTGTGATTGTCTATGTGTGTGTCCATGGCACCCGCGACACAGGGTTTCCCTAGTGCGGGGCTATGTTGAGTGTGTGCGTTGTTGTTGTTATAGTTATTTGTTATTATTGTTATTAATGTTGCGGGAAATTAGAGAAAGCTACTTCTTCCACTGACAATAAAAACATAAGATGGTTTTACTGCGCATGTGGCCGAATGGTTCGATTACCGGGCCGGAAGAAGCTATTTATTTATTTCGTGAGTTTGGGTGTAATTTGTGGTTGTCTATGTGTGTGTCCGTGGCACCCGCAACACAGGGTTTCCCTGGTGTGGGGCTATTAATGCGCGCATTATTTATATATTTATTTCACATTAGCCAACACAAAAATGACAATCTTCAACTAACTGACCGAGCACACATTGGTAACGAAACTAATTTTTCAGGTATAAATCTCGTATATTTGTTTTTTCAAACAAACCAGCGCTTCGGGCCGTTTATAGGTCCTATGGTAGATCAGTCATGGCTACTGAAACGTTGTAACTATTAAATGTATGAAAGTAAATAAAATAGAGCAACTGTTTATTTTTTGTAAAGATGAAGTAAATATGATTCAAGTGAAAAGTGATAATAATGGCGCATTTACACTAGGTCGACAGGACGGCATTGCTTGCCCGCCGAAAGCAACAGCCTGAGGCCACAAATTCGGAACAGCAGCACGTACAGCGGAGTGTTTAAAGTTTGTACGCACATCGTGTCTTGTGTATGTATCCAACACAAGACGCGTAAACCTTGAACGCTGTGCTGAACGCACCACGACCGTTGCAAATTTGTGGCCTAAGTGCCCAGTTCCACGAAGAGAAAGTTTCCGCGCGGCCGCCGCGCGGCGACCGCCCAGTTACCTCACCTTCATGTACATTAATGGCGAAGCTGATTTCTATTTACTAAGCAACAACATTTAAATTCCTCTGAATAGTACGTACCTACAACCGCGCGACCACCGCGTAGACCAAATTCAAGCCAGTCTCGCCCGCGTGTCCGGGACGCTCATTTAAGTAAAACGTAAATGCTAAATAAAGAGATCGTAGGTATTTTGCCATGACGTTAGATGCACGCGGTCGCTGCGCGGCGGCAGCGTGAGGTGAGCGTGATGAAAATGGTTTTAAAATTGGAATAAATGCGCTCTAAGTGGGAATGAACAATGAATCGTTTGACGGCCGTAGTTCGTTGTCCATGTCGACCGAGTCGGTGTAAAGTGCAGACCACACCGCGAACTAAGCTAAGCTAACTTAGCTCACGTAGCCGGGACATCTATTCATACTTCGGTTCACACCGCCAACTAAGCTAACCGAGCTAACTAAACTAACCCAACGATCCCACTAAGCCATGTCGCCCTTTTGCTGTCCTTCACCCTCGCACGTATCTATAGACCCTACGTGAGCTAAGCTAAGTTATCTTAGCTTCGTTCGCGGTGTGGCCTGCGCTTAATCACTATCGAGTGACTCGGTTTTTCTGTAGACGACGATGGGCGTGCCTGGGGCCGGAGAAAAACTACCTTCTAAATCAGTTTGTTAAAATTTCAGTGTAAAGCCGCCGCCTTTGTTAGCCGAATTCGCTTATGAAAGCGGCGGCTGTCGACTTGGTGTAAACATCGAGTCGATTGCAACTCCTTCGGTAAAGCAAAGTAGTCTTATTTTATAATATCAAGTGACGGGACGAACAAGTCGTGCGTCTGGTGTCACTCAGAGCTGTAAATCGCAAAGATCTGAAGGGCACTGCCACTGCGCCTGTCACCTTTGACCAGCAGGTCTCTCGAAGGCAGCACTCGAACCCCGTGTAAACACGCCATCAGTTCTTCAGTCTCGAATCTATATTATATTCTATTAAACCCTATAATAGTAAATCAATCAATCAATCAAATCAATATCGGCTCGGAAAATTCATTAATGTCTAACAATGATTTTTCAGCGTTGAAAGTAATTTATTAATTGGGTTGCACATTTTTTCGTTAAAACATCCATGAAATAATAAAAAAACCTACAAATTAAAGGTCAATGAACTATATAGATAAATAAATCATTGTTTCTTGTTACAGGACACTATTTTCCTATTCATAGGAAGCTTATTTCTTGCATCTGCTATAGAACAATCAGGTTTGCATAAACGATTTGCTCTCTGCTTTATCAGAACTATTGGATACTCTCATTATAAGTAAGATCACGTTATAACTCTAGTACTTTACTTAGGTAAATACATTTTAAATGCATTTAAACATACATGACTACACGCACCGGCTCATTTAGCGGAACACTCATAAAGACTGCTCATATATGTATATATTTTTTTATTTTAGGTCTAATTTGAAAAAATATAATGACTAATTTTTCGTTTGCTTTAATTTCCTACTAATGTAGGTTTGTCGAGAGGTATAGAGGTTGACTTTACATTCTTGTAAATATCGTAAACAATAGTTAGATTTTTATTTATTACATTTTGGTTTAATCAGTGTTCAATTATTGTTACAATTTTAAATCATATTTGCTGTGTCATAAAATGTAATTTCGGTTTTATTCAACAAAAGCGTATGACCTTAACGTCCCGGTTGTAGTTAGTTAAGTTAGTTAGAAGTTGGAAAGTAGAAAAATGTAAGGATTTAATGAAAGTTAAAAATACACAAGTTATAATGAGTAAACAAGCTTAACTTAAGTGCTTATGCACACAACGTATTTTATACGCGCCTACGACGCGCAGATGACGCGCGTAAACGCGATTCACACTTGCACATTTGTTTTTGAAACTCATTATAGTTCTGTGTACAGAACTTTTCAGTCCAAGACCTTTCAAACTTTTGTAATGACATTCTTTTTAATTTTAGTTTGTAACGGCTGTAGGTCCGTGCGATGGTGGAAACACCACAGATCGCTAAATGAGACTCTAGTTACGGTTGTGAATAAGTTTCGACTCAGAGCAAGAAAAGTATTGAGATAATTTATTGAAAGGCGCCAGATACCTACTCCTCCCGACAATTGAATGATGCGTTTGAATGAAACGACTAAAGTTCATAATGTTACTACATCGAGTATATAATGGACGAATATTGAAAAAAATACATATATTTAATTACCGATGAAATGTGATTCCGTTTGTTTGTAATTAGATTTTTGCTATTTTCCTACACCACCGCATAGAACAGCCCTCCATAGTTAGTGATATTATCTTTATTACAACAAATACAGAATATTTTTGGAATATACGGAGACCTACACACAGGTCAGTTGTTGCCGCTGTACTATTTCAGCTTTCTAATTTGTGATTTCAGTGCAAATGAGAGTTGATATTTAAAAGTGATATAAAGGCCCATTTGCCTGATGAATTGCCGGAGGTGTATAACCCTTATTTCGTCTCTAATTCTGGTTATGTACTCGATGTGTTGCTACAATTTATTTTTAAGCACTGTTAGGTTTAACTTATTACGGTTAATTATCTTGAAACCCGTATTAGGTAGGTAGTTCGAGTCTTACTTAAATTTCTAAAGTTAAACATTGCCAGATTCTAAGGATAATGAGGCACTCGAGATTTAATAACCAAGGCATACCTACACTGAATTCAACATTTTTACTTTGTAGCTAGTACCCAACAAAAATTACTTAAAATGAAATAATGAAATTATATTTTGTATCAATGCTATTTGTTGAGTGTTTTTTACTTATTTAATTCAATAATCGTAAAAAACCCGTTTTCACATTGTGATTATTCATAATTAACTGTATAAGTACCATAGTTATTAGATGTTGAGGTCAAATACTTTTTACGGATTAATTAGTTACATGTTTTAATATTTTTGGTTCTACTTTGTACTAATAATGATGTTAATTAATAACCATTTGCTTTCATGTTTAATTTGTGAATGTGATTCTTCTGGAAGAGTATCTTGTCATAATGTCGTTGGAAATGTTAATAATAAAAATGCAAACACGGTCTGACTCGTGAATTTAAAATAATCCATCATTCATTAAATAAAATAAGTCATATCGTGCAATCAATTCTTTTATTAAACTAGTCATATAAAAAAGCGTTTTCTACTAAATACGGCAATATCTTCCCATTCCATATTTATAACCACACCTAAGCTCTTTCACTGGAAAATCTTGACACACTGAACAAAACACCACCTGTATAATGCTCGTGGAAATACGAAAACGTTCCTATGTTCAAACGGTTTATCGAAAACGCCCTAACGGATTTAAATACGATAAGTGAACCAGCTTGCACGTTTACTACAATGCCCCGCCCTTTCACTGAACAGGGGGCCTACCACAACCTCTTAAAACAATATTACTTTAACCTTACATTGAATTTTCGTACCATGACGCGCTTACTTAGCTTAGCTTACTTTAAAGCTTATTATAATGTTAAAACTATGATGTTTCATTGGCAGCTTTGTGACTATTCACTCACTCAGTTCGTACTGTGACACGACTTTAACATTAAAGTAATTTTGTTTTTATGTCAAATTTAGCAATCTTAAAATTGTTACTGGGACGCAGTGGAAACACTATTATTTTCGAAGTATTGTCTAAATATTGATTTGTAATGATTACAAGTTGAACTTTTTTTTATTTACATAAATCTCTTCAATATTTTGATTATTTTTTTTATTTAATAGTAAATAGGAAATAATTTATTATGACAGCGACATCTATACGCTCCTTGGCGGTACTAACAGTCGACACTAGACTCGGAATTCACAACGTGATTATGAAGACTCCGCTTGTTTCATTTATTGTTTTCTACAAAGATAATTGAAAACAACGTAATTTTAATAGATTTTATTGTTACATACTTTTTTTTTATCAGTTAGAATTCTCTGAATGTAAGTAATATTAAGTACCCTTAAACATTATACTACGACAAGACAAAGAAATGGCATTATATAATTCATATAGCGTTGATTTGTTTCCTATTTTTAGTAAGGAATAGACAATATTGGGAAATCATTCGTTCTTTCAATCACTTTAGCAATAATACATTACTTGCTTGACAGGTTCGTCACGGTTCGAATATGACTAATATTATTATAAGCATACTTTATGCTTACAATGAAATAAGATTGTTTTTGGAAAGGTGGTAGGCCCCCTGGACGCTCAAGTATACACTACAAAGGCTGTTACCCAGGCACCTCAATACAAGTTGGTATGTTCAGTGGCGCAGCGTGTACGCTCCAAACGACGCTCCGCTGCACGCGCCGTCGTTCCGAATTTGCAGCTTCACTATTTGTCATTTTTAGTCAAAAATTAACAACACTATGAATCAGTTGTTATACAATTATGCTTTGAAGAACTGGGGCAGGTGGTTAGACTAACGCCTGTTCCACTATTTCAGCACTTACGGTTTATTTTTTTGCACCAACCAACTGTTATATGATTGATTAATTTTATTTTTTTACTAGAATACTTTTTGCAATGTGTTTCGTAACGATGTTCGTGTCAATGTGGATAACCAATACTGCTGCTACAACTATGATGGTGCCCATAAACTTTGCTATTCTCCGAGTGTTTGAAGACGTAAGGCTATATTATTATTACTTGTATTTGTGACATCTATGTTTTTAGCCGACTTCAAAAAAGGAGGTTCTGAATTAGACTACTTTTTTGTGTGTATGTTACGTGATTACTCCGACAATTACGAACCGATTTTGATGGTCCCATTTGAGTTTAAAAGAAAATATTATATAATATATATTATTATATAATATATATTAAACTACGGTATGAATCCGATTTCGCGCACTTTCCGGTAACGGATTTCAATAAAACTTGGAAAATAGATGTAGTTTCACGAACTTTTGAGGTCGGTTTTTCTGTACAGAGATAGAGATAGAGAGATATATGTACATATTTATTTGTAAGCATACACGGTAAATACAGTTTACATGTTTCACTTATGGTTCAGCGTGTTGCGCCAGTAACTGGCATACAAATGTTAATAGCAAATATTATACATTGTTCGCATTTATTACACATAGTCATGTTACTTATTAAAACCATATCGTAAAATTTTGTTCACTAAATAATATAAGGAAAGAAAAATTATGATTAGTAAAAAAGAGGAACGCATGTCAAAGCAATAAATGTCGAGGGTCATTATAATTACATTATTTTATCATATTTTTATATTATTAGATTAGATTATATGTATATTGTATCATATTCATTATATTTGTAATTCAATACCAATTGGTTACCTTTATAAAGGACGAGTGTGGAACGTTCTAAACATGGCATTGTGTTTGTGTGTGTGTGTGTGTGTGTGTGTGTGTGTGTGTGTGTG